ACTGACTGCGAGACGGCGGCCTGTGAAACAACTCCGTCTGACAGGAACCTCTTTTGCATACCCTGTTGTCACTCCATTCCATGACTCGTGCAACACGTTCCCTGGCTTGTTGAGGTTTTCCAATGGACAAGACACAACTGCGAAACTCGAGGATCTACGATTGGGCGGCGTGCATCCTCCATGGGTGAACGTCCGAATGGCCCCCTCTGAGGATGTATCCCCGAGCTCCATTTCTTTCCTGAACGGCCAGAGCTAGGGTCGTTTTGATGGTGGGATCGCATGCGATTGGTTTTAACGGACAGCAGCCTGGCACACGCTAGCATGGATAAATGGGGGATCTGCGGATCTGGCGCGCAGGCGCACAATCCACGGATCGGCGAAGTCATCCTTCGACACATGAGACCAATGCTACCTGACTTGATGAGGAAGCGCGGCGACCCTGCACGGAAACGGGACACGTCGCGAATCCACACGCCTTTATCCATGCTTGAAGGTCTCCCACATGGTGTCCGAGTAGGTGGTGTCGGAGGATCGCGCCGCATCGTCGATGCGTAGGTGATGCATTGACGTCGACGATGCATCGGCAACGTCTGCGTAGAGAAAATCGGGATCCGCATCGAGCCGCATCGCTGATGAATCACAAATGCGGCGCGATCCTCTGACCCAATCAGCTCTTACCCCATCTGTGAGGTCTAATTTAGAAGAAGACAACACATCATCAATATACACTTTCGACGGCCCGCGCGGATCCCTTGGATCTGCGCCGGACCGCCCTCCCTGGCGCGCGGAGCGCGCCAGGGGCGGCGCCGGAGGCGCCGCCGGGGGGGGCCAGGCGCAGATCCAAGAAATCCTCACGGAGCGCCAGAAGCTCATGCTCATGCCAATTTTCTTGGTCGATGATTACAATCATCGTGCTACCGCCGTTAGGTCGGGCATCCCCCCCCCCTCAGGCAGATTTTGAAGAAAGCATGAAAACAATACAGCCAAGATGCAAGACGTAATTGAAACGTTGTCAGAGCATCGTCCCCTGACTATTCTTTGACTATTTTTGAATATCCCCCCTGTAGAGGGACACGCCCGACTTGATGCTACCGTGAGGAATGCTGGGTGACGACTGAAGGGGGCGCTCTGGCCACGGCGAGCCAAGGCCACGGAGAGATGCCCTGGCCGCAACCGAAGGAGCGGTCCGACGACGGGCGCCCGTCCCGAGCCCAAAGTGGTCCGCGCTTCAGCGCCTCGGCTGCGGAACCAATGTTTGCGGAGGAGGAGGAGGAGGAGGAGGAGGAGGAGGAGCGAGCGAGCGAGCCGCAGGAGAGGCGTCCGAGTGACGAACACCAACCGCGTGTGAGACCTGAGAGCCACAGGGGTGGCGGAAAGGCGGAAGCCTGGGAGAGGGTGGGGCGCCTCAGGAAAACCACGCCCTAAAGCCTCCCAGGGTCCAAAGAGAAACACTAGGGGGCAGGGTTCGGGCCAGAACGCGCCGCACCTGCCCCTCGCTGGCGGGGCTCCAGGCCACGGGTGATTATGTCGATCGCCGTGAGCTGGTTCGCCCTTGTCTTTGGATTCTCCGAAAACCCTTGGCACAACGCCCGCAGCTTGCGGGCGGACCTGAAGGACTCGGACCCGTTGAAATTGCCCCCGCACTTGCGGCAGCAATAAACGGAATTAACACAGAAAACGTCATGCCCCAATTCAGCGAATTCGGCAAGCACTGGTCGGGGAGCGTCGGCCGAGCCACTGGCAGCAGACACCTGCTCCAACGGCTGAGGAGGGACCGCGCCAAGCCCCGAAGAGGCCTCCTGAGGCCCAGTCGTGGACCCCAAAATCCTCTCGGCCGCCTCGATGGCAGCCGTGACCCTAGAGTCCGAAATACTAAGCCACGCCTCAGAACTCCGCAGGAAGAAGTCCTCGGCAAGGCTCTGGACCAGAGGCGATGGAGCACACGCCCGATCAGTTCCAGAGCGAAGAGTATGGAGGGTATTCGCACTACGAGCGACTCGATTGCACCGTCAACACCGATACTCAGACATCCTCGGGAAGAAAAGCAACTCGTGGTCCTGGGGCCTCTCGAAGACCACACGCTTGGGCACATGGGCAAGCTCTGGGTCCCGCTGCACGATAGGATCCGTTCCCCACTTCCGAAATTGAACTACCTGGAAGGCCGCCCAAGACACATAGTGCAAGACCTGCTTGTGCTGCTTCAACGCAGCGGCCAAACTATCAGCCGTTGTTTCAGACACCATGTGTGCAGCGCTGCCGCACTTCGCGAAGAAGTCGGCCCAGGCATTGCCGACGAAGGCCTCCAGCTCGTCTGGCGTGGCCGACTCGATGATGTCCCCCAGCTTCCTGCGAGCTGGAGTCCACTGAAACCGCACTGGTGGCAGACGTGGATCGCGTGCTCTGGCGGCCGAAAAAAATGTCTCTCCAGACTCGGGCGTGCTTCGCTTTGCCAAACTCGAGCTTCTGGTCCCAGGACGCGCCCTCCTCCACGGGCGATTTCAGATCCGAAATGAAAACCTCATGCCCTGGATGCTTCTGAAGTCCCATCTTGATGGCATAGCGCTCAGCACGGCCTATCGTCTGCACGTAGTAGGGCAAGGGCCCATATACAGCTCTGGCGGGGAGCCACGTGACGGGGTCCAACTGGCAGACCGACCAACCACACCTACGTACTTCAGGAATGCTGGCCGAGAACCCCGAACCATCAGTATAGGATGTAGGCCCCCAGGAGCCTGAGACATCTCCCCACTCAAAAACCTCATTGGAGACCGTAGTGTAGTGCGGCACAGCAACAGGCTCAGGAATCCCATAGATCAGGTATCTCTGGTCCCAGTCGGTGCACCCCAGCAGCTGCCCAGACGCCTGAAGCATGTCTCGAACCTCCTGAAGCTGTTCTGGAAACTCATAATATTCCTGGTCGGGGTCCCCTTCGAGGAGCGGCGGGCAGTCGTAAAATATGTGACCCCAACAGGAGTCGATAGCCTTGCCACAGGCCTGACAAGGCCTAATGGGCCTCCCATGCTTCATGTCCCGACGCGGTGGGATGGGAAGATTGTCAGCCCACAAAGCCTGCAGCGCTCCGAGGCGCCTGTGACACTTTATCTTGGCGAGCGAGTGGCGTAGCGCACGATGCCACACATCCGCCTGCTCGGTGTAAAAATGCTGCTGCAACCTATGGTGCTGCCAGCGCTGGATGCCCTGATGCAGGAACACTCGCAGGTCTGCTGGACATATACGATATAAGTCAAAACTATTTCCCAGATCGTCGACCAGGATGTGCTCTGACGACATAGTCCAGGAAATGCGCCTCAAAGTAAGCCAAGTGGCCCCGAGGGGCCCTCGCGCCTCAGACCAGGAAGGTGAACTCTCAAACTTAGCACCCAGACATACCCAAGCCTCCCGAAGTCTGCTAGGTTGCACACGCCCATCCCAGTTCCAGGAGGCGCATTTGAGCACAATGTCCGTGGTGGCGTTATATATGGGGTCATAGCATTCATCCCGATGAGATATAAGATACGCTGTTACCCCAACCATCGTCTTACCTGGAGCACCATTTAGGACCGCAGCACAATGTCGCAACTCACGAAGGGCACTGTCACTAACTCCAGCAACTGCACCGCCATGCGCCACTGATGGAAGGGCGCCCGTGCGCCACAGGCTGGTAGCACTCCGCCCCACGGCGGACTTCAACATGCGAAAACGATGCTTGCGCTCACGAAACTGCACCAGCCTACGCTTCTCCATATGCCGAAGAACTCGAGGTCCTGTGAGCTCGTGTCCCAGATTCCTTATGTGGGCCCTGTACGGGATCTTCAAGGTTCCCAGGTGCCTCTTGAGCTGCCCCCAACCCTTTTGGGTCCCAGGGATACATCCAGACTGCGGCGGCTTCAGGACCATCCCGAGATCTCCTGCATCAACCGTGAACGCCTTGGCCGCTCGGGCCAGGTTGGACACCTCCCTCAATACGGGCGACACGTACTGCAGGCCCACATCGTCCATGAGCGTGCGTGGCGTGATAGTAGGTGCAATACTGGCCGTGCGCAGGACCGCTCGGTACGCGAGGAGATATAAAAGATACGTGGCGTGCGTGCAGCGCGCAAGAATACCCTGATGGGCCACCAAGGGCCTGGATACGGACCCAAAACACTTGATCCTTCCCGGCTGGCGGTAGGAGCCCAGGAGCAACCACAGGAGCCTCAGCGGGTACCCGAGCTCTCTGGCTTCTCGGAGAAGTGCACTGTGACTAACCATATCGAAGCACTTGGTCATGTCCAAGAGAATGGTGCATGTGTGCTCACCTAAAAGTTCGCCTATCTCCTGGCTCAGGTTGTGGTCGAAGGCTGAATCGGTCGAAGTCTGCCCAGCCCTGGACCCCCACATCTGTTCACAACTGTGAGCCTCTTGCCACTCCGATGAAAGCGGCCGACGAAGCTTTCCCCGCAACCTGACGAAAGTATTGCTGAGGGCGTCCCCGTCAGGCTTGGGCAGGCGCACAAGCTCGCTGTAGAGCCTGTCCGTAGGCCAGGCCAACCAACTCTCAAACTGCATGAACATGTCAGCCAGGCTCTGCAAGGCCTGGTCGGACAGCACATCGAGCGTGCGTGGCGCGATCCTCGTCTGGCCCGAGGCCGTCTTCAAAGGAAAGCTCATGATGGCCCCACGCACCTGCGATGCAGACAAAGGCGGAAGCAAAGGCCACTGAGCATGATCGACGGGCAGCGGCAGAGGGCATGCACCGTGGTACGTCCAAACATCCCTCCACTTGTCGAGCGCACGGTCAGCCATCTGGTATGGCTGAGCGTCAGGGGAATAGGCGAGCACCTCCTGTCGAGCCCGAACCTTGGAGGACGAATGCGCCCGCGAAGCTCCTCCCAAGAAGGCTGCTTTGGCCCACTGCCGCCAAGCCCTCTCCGACGCTCTTTGCGCCGTTCTCAAATGATAATCAGCTCTGGCAATGATGGCATTGGCTACGTCCTCAAAGTCAGCTTCAACCAAGCCAGTCAGCCCTCGCCGAAAGAAACACGCGAAGGCATCATCCAAAACACGCAGCACCTGCACTGACCGAGCCACACGTCCATAAAAGGCAGCCACTTCATTGAAGGCCACGACGACCTTGGTGTACTGCAGCGGCGTGATGGCGCAAACGGCGGCACACAGCTTGAGGCGCTCGATGTACCTCACAAGCCGCTTCTTCTCGGCCACGAGGTGCTGGGCCCAGCGCTTCGCCGTGGCCCAGGCCAGCACAGTCGGCTCCTTGTAGGTACGCCTGCGCGGCGGCTGCCATGACAGGTGCTGCCACTTGAACTGCGGCGGCCCTTCACGTCCGATGTACTGCATGGCCTTAGCGCCCACGCAGTCGTAGCGCCCTGCCAGCTCGTAGTCCACCCCCCGCAGCACAGAGTCCCAGAGCGAGCTCAGGTCGTCGACACTGCTGACCCGTTGGAACTCTGTCTGGAGCATATGCCACGGGTAGGGATGCCTGGCACAGCCAACTGGCGGCACCACCGCAAAAGGTCGCGGCTCCACACCACGTGGGGCGATCCTCGCCCATGAGCTGCAGCTCCACAGGGAAGTGCGGCGGCGGCACGACCGTGGAGTCATACTGGACCCCTGGCTTGCCCTTGATGCGAGACGCTAATTTGGCACAGACAACAAAATAGTCTATGGTGCTCTTGCCCTCGTCGGTGATGCAGGTGTGCTGGTCAGGCACATAGTGGATGGCTGCCATGGTCTCGACCCAGTTGCGAACATTAAGCGCATCGATGTCGGCGTTCCAGTCGCCGCCTAGGATCCAGTCGAGGTCCCGTGAGTTCCATGCTGCCACCCTCTGGGCCAAGGCCCACAGCACCTCAATGTTTTCGCCCGAGATGCCAATGGACGTGACAAGATAAACACTGGCGACAATGATACCGCCAGCAACTCCCCAGTTAATCTGTGCACAAACTGCTCGTCCTGGATAGATAATGTGCCCGTCATCAGGTGGGGCCGTGACCATAATGTACGTCGGCACGAGTACAGCGACCCCTCCGAAGTTGGACGTGGCTGAGTCACCCGTAGTGGGCGACGGGGCCCATAGCCCATGCCATCCAGCGTCCAAGGCCCTGGCCTGAAACTCGCCAAGCCTAGGTTCGGTAATCCTTAACTCCTGTGCCAACAAGATCGTTCCCCGATAAGTAGCCAAAAAGTCAAAGAGAGGGCCGTAGCTCGTAGCGTTCACCGTTGTGATGAGGCCCTTGAGCTGCGGCTGAGATTATGCATGCATTGGCTGCACATTCGCCTCCGTGCGCTCTGGCTGCAAAGGCGAGGTAGGTGCAGCGCGTTCTTGACATGATTTCTCGAAGCGTAATCGGGAAGAAGGTGGGGGCGAAGATGGCGCATCCTGAAATGCGCCTTCACACAGATCTGCTTCCATACCAGGCTCGACGTCCTGAAAGAAGTCATACTCATCACCCAAAGTAGTACGCACTGGGCCACTCTGACCCGAGGACGCCCCTGGCAGTCGGCACCCTCTGCCGCCTGGATTCTCCGAGGGCAAGGGCGGTGAGCGGTGCGTGCCGTCCGAAGACGGTCGGCGCCCTCTGCCGCCGCCCCCCGAAGGTGAGGTCGGTGAGCAGCGCGTGCTGCCAGGGGCCAACCGCGTAGGCGTAGGCGGAGCAGCCCTCTGTGATGCCGTGGACGCCAAAGACCCAGCTGCAGGCGCAATCGACGTAGGCGGAGCCGCAGTCAAGGTCGGAGCTGCCCCCCACCCCGAGGAGCGGGCCAGTGGGGGAAATAATGTAGGCGCCGTAGTCCCAGCCGAGGTCATGGTACTGGAAGCCGTTGTGGGCAGGGAGGTGTGACGATGAGGGGCTGAATCCCTCTCCCCCCTGCCCGATATGCTCGCCGCTGTCGAAGATAACGGAGGCGCACTCTCAACATGTTGCGCTGATGTAGAGCTAGCCATAGTGACAAAGAGCCAAAGCAACAGCATATCAGGCCGAGCACGTTCACGCAGACGTCTTGGCCTTCTTGGCCACAGTGTCCAAGTCGCTCTGCTGAAGACGCTTGAACTTCTCGCGCACGATGTCGGGGGTGTCGCTCTCTTCGACGTGGACCCCTGCTGCACCGAGCGTCTCACGGTACTCCTGCTCAGACATCTCGATGTCAGGTGGCTCAGCACTAGCTTCATCCGCATCAGCATGAGCAGGTGCAGGTTCAGGCGGCTTGGCCTGGGGCAAACTCTGCAGCTTGCTGACCGTGTCGGCCATAGCTTGCAGCTCCTTGACCATGTCGGCGCCAAGACCGAGGCCTGTTGCAACTTTGCCCAGCTGCTCCACACTGACCGCGAAGGTGGGCAGCAAGTCCGCAAGCGTCGGTGGCTGCGTGCCCTCGGGCGGCTGGACTCGCGACATGGCGGTGCGGGTCTGCTGCTCCAGGCGGAGGACCTCCGCCGCGGCCTCTTGCAACTTGGAGTCCGTGTCGGCCAGGCCGCGGGTGAGCTCGTCGATCTTCTTCTGCTGCTCGTCACGGGTGGCCTGGATGGTAGCCTGTCGCGAACGGGCGGAAGACAATCTTGACGCCAAAGACCTGGCCTGATGCTCGATGGGCCTATCTTGAAAGAGCTCGGCGTCCAACCTCGCCCGCTCTTCACGCCATTTGGCCACAGTATCAGCATCAGCAGGGTCAGTAGTGACACGAAGCAACTGATCCAGCATCCTGATCCGATTCCGCTTGGCGGTGTCGGCATCCCCTGGCGCCGCAGCCCATGGTGGGCTCGCACCTGTACCCGTAGTCGCAGGCCCATGCCCTGGGGGGATGCTCTCGGAGCTTGGTGAGCTGCGCCTCGAGCTCCTTGACCTTGGCCGCGAGCGACTGCTGCTTGGCCGAGACACTGGGCTGCGACGCTGCTTTGTTTTCCTTGAAACAGTTGCTCTTGTGCAGGCCGCACTTCTTACAGTAGACAAGGGTGGAGGCATTGAACCACGGCTGATTCGTGACGTCGTGCCTGCACCACTTGCAGTACCATGGCGAAGCATTCTCCTTGCGCGTCGGGGCCATCGTGGCGTCGATGTCGCAGGGACGAGCGGCGAGTGCCACGGACCAGAGGGCAGCCTGGCCGTGGCGACAAAACTGATGAGGGAGCCCAACCCCTCGGTGTAGGCGAAAAGCTGTCGAGCGCAAGCGCTCTGGCACTGCCGCGGACTAGCGGTATCCGTGAATGCCAATACGGGCTCAGCCCGCAAAAGCATGAGCCTTGAGCCAAAATGGCTACGGAGGAGGAGGAGGAGGAGGAGGAGGAGGAGGAGGAGGAGGAGGAGGAGGAGGAGGGAGGGAGGAGGGGGAGGACGAGGAGGAGGAGGAGGAGGAGGAGGAGGAGGAGGAGGAGGAGGTGTTTGGCCTGCGGAACCAATGTGGAGAAGTGGCCTGCGATGTTGTTTGTGTGTGTGTTTGTCTGAACAGGCCCCCAGGGTCCCCCCTCCGTTTCGGGGGCTGCCAGCGGTGCCCCTAGCAGACAAGCCCAAGGTGGCCCTAGGATCTCGCCCGCAGGAGGCCCGTAACTCCTACGCCTCCTCCTGCGGGTGCTGGAGGCGCTCTGGGCCCCATCAGAGGTGCTCTGGACGGCTTCTGGGCCATATGCCTTCGAGAGCATGTTTTGTACTCGCGGCAGTGACGAGCGTTAAGGAGGAGGAGGAGGAGCAGCAGCAGGAGGAGGGGGAGGAGGGGGAGGAGGGGGAGGCGGAAGAGGAGGAGGAGGAGGAGGAGGAGGACGTGAAGCAGAGGAGGGCGCGGCGATGACGTGCGTTATAAAGAGAGGCGGGGCGGCCCCCTCCCCTCGCCGCGACGGGCCGTGGTGCCGGACGCACCGCGGCAGTGCCGGGGACGCACTGGGGCGGGAAACGCTGCTGTAGGGCGGCGAGGCAGGGGGGGGGGATGGGGTGGGGAGGGGGGCATTACGCGGGTTACGGCAGAGGGTAAAACAGAAGCTCTCTTCCAGGGCACCCCTGAAGGGCCCCGGGGCTCTGGCAGAGGAGCCCTTGCCCCCCGGCGGCACCAGCGGCGGCTCTGGCCTGGACGGCGACGCTGGCGGCATGCCGCCCCGCGCACGCTCGCGCGCAGAGGGGGCGCATGCCTGGGCCTCGAGTCGAGGACACCACAAAAACGACGGGGACAGCTCGTGGATAAGGAAGAAATCGCGAGGCGAGGATTTACACGCAGCACCCCCACTTGCGGATAAGAATGATGGGGCGGGCGCGGGTTGGGTCGCGGGTGGGTCTCGGGGTGGGTCGCGGGTGGGTCGCGGGTGGGTCGCGGGTGCGTCGCGGGTGGGTCGCGGGTGCGTCGCGGGTGGGTCGAGGGTGGGGTCGCGGGTGGGATGACCTCGACGGCAACAACAATAATAAGTTTAAGACTGTTCGCTCTTTTCTGCTCGCGTGCCATTCAACATGTATATCCCAAACCCTCGATACCCGCCCGCTTAGTCTTCGATCGCGCCCCCATTAGAAATATATGTATCTTACATGCAACGTGTATCCGTGCAGCCCCTGAACAAGGGGAAGCGACGACGGATGGGAGGAAGAGGCAAGGGGCAGCGGGTTGCTGAAGCGTGCGTCCTGCATGAGTCGCGGGGAAGTCTCGAGCGATAGCGCGATTCCCAAATAAATCGTGAAGAAATCCACAGTGAGATCGTGATTCCTGAGTGTCGAGGGCGCGCGGCGTCTATATAAATTGGAAGAGGTTCCACGCGGGAGCAAGATTCCTGTTGAAACTGTAAGGAAGTCCCGCGCGAGAGCGCGATTTGGGAAAAAATGGCGAGGAGGTATCAGGCGGGAGCCGTTGTTGTTCTAAGTCGGCGGCCAGGGGCCCAGTTTGGTGACCCCACACTTCCCTCGTAAACTACCAGGTGCGAGCCCCAGGAGGAACACAGTCATTGAAAAGCACAGTGGTCACAGGGCAGGTCGGGCTAACAATACATATTTTGCAAAACAGAACACTAGTAACAGAGTCATCAACAGCAACGACAAACAGTTTGAGGCTGTTCGCTCTTATCAACTCGCGTGCCATTCAACACATGTATCCCCAATCCCTTGATACTCGCCCTATTAGTCTTCGACCGCACCCCCTTAAGGGCACATCTTTCTCACCTGCGACGTTGTATGTCATGGAGCCCCTACGTCAGGGGAAGAGAGGACGGATGTAAGAAGGAGACAAGGGGGGGTGGAGAAGGATGGAGCACGAGAGAGACAGAGTGTAGCAGGAAGGGGGCTAAGAGCAGAAAATACGTGGCAGAACCAAAAAGGCATACCGGGCGGGTAGCCCCTAACAGGCGGGTCGGGCAGGCGGGCCCAGGCGGCCAGGTCGAGCAGGCGGGTTGCTGAAGCTTCCGTCCTGCATGAATCGCGAGTCTCGAGCGATAGCGCGATTCCCAGGGAAATGATGAGGTAGGCCTAGGCGAAAGCGTGATTCCTGATTGTCGAGGGCGTGGACTTTGAATACATTGAAGGAAGTCCCACGCAAGAGCGCGATGCTTGCATAGATTGTGAGGAAGTCCCTCGCGAAAGCGCGAGTTGGGAATAACTTGTGAGGAGTTATCAGGCGGGAGCCGTTGTTGTTGTTGTTGTAATTCGAGAACCAGGACCCTCGTTCTGAGACTCAGAAAACTCCTAGATAAAAATAAAACAGGGTGCGGCCCGGAGAAGAGCACTGCAATTGAAAAACAAACAGTGTGTCCGGGAAGGGAAGATCAATACACGTTATTTCTACAACGGCGACAACGGCAACGACGACGACGACAACGACGACGACAACGACAACGACAACAATCATTTTTAGACTGTTCGCTCTTACTGGCACGCGTGTCTTACATTCCGTATATCCCCAACCCTCGATACCCGCCCATTTCGTCTTCGATTGCACCACTTCTCGGGGGGAATATCTTCCTTGTCGGCCACTGACTGAAGTGCGAAGAAGTCTCGAGCGAGAACGCCGTTCCTGAAATCGGGGGCCTCTCTGGCCAAAGGCTCTTGGAATACCTATGGAGAAACATCGAACAGAAGCCTGTGTCGCCGCGTCGGGGCTTCCACCAACTTCCGTGAATTACAAAAAAATCTCGAGCAAGAGCGCCGTTCCTGAAGTCGGGAGCCTTCTTGGCCAGGAGCTCTCGGAGTGAACCGTGAGGAAATATCGAACAAGAGCCCTCTGTCGTCGTGGCTGGGCCTCCGCCGACTTAATTGAGTTTGCGAGGAAGTCTCGAGCGAGAGCGCCGCTCCTGAGTTCGGGGGAATCTCTGGCCAGGCTGTCTCGGGGTAGATTGTGAGGAGGTATCGAGCAGGAGCCGTTGTTGTCGTAGCTGGGCCTCCAAGGGCCCACATTCGGGCTCAAGCCAACGCTCGAGCGGGAGCCTCATTTTCAGAGAAAATGTAGCCAACGTCGAGGCGAGACCGCGCGGAACCGTTTCCGGAGGTCAACATAATTTATTGGTTAGAAATGAGTATTCTGCTTATCCAACATTAACAGCAACAACAACAACAGCAGCAGCAGCATCAAACACATCAATCATGCTATCCGAATGCTCTATGGTTATAAATGCATTATGCGTGCATCATGATAACTCCCCCCATCATGGATGATCTTTTCTTGCACATGGGGGGGGTCCAATATTCCCTTACCCAGATTTCCCGACCGAGGACGTCTTGTCACCACCTCTTCCGAAGCACTTCAACATCTCTAGTCCGGATGGCGCATCGCCCTTCGCTATTGCCCTGCCCGTGCTTTGCTCCTCAATATCACCACGCCCAAAACCGCTGGGAGAGGCCCCGCAACCTTGGGAGAGCCCCCGAAGCCCCTTGAACAGCCTCTGGAGCCCGTTGGAGAGCCCCCAGAGCCTCTCAGAGAAACTTCAGAACCCCTGTGGGAAACATGAGGGCCCCTGGGAGACGCTCGAATCCTGAACTGAAGGCTTTCGGGCCACCTTCAAGGAGGCCTCAAGGCATTTTGAGAAAAGCCCTGGGTCGGAGGAGCTTCTGAGCCTCGGGGGAGGATCCCCTTGATAGATGCCTCTGACTACTGAGCTGAGTCGTGCCATGGCACGCGCTCTCGCCTTCAGTAGCCCTACCGCCTTGCTTGTGCCCCAAAGGTCTTTCCCTTTCATGGCCTGCTGGGTGTTAAGAAGGAGATCTAAGGAAAGAGAAGGAGGAAGAGAAGGACGACGACGATGAGGACGAGGACGACGGGGTCACCGCCGCCGGCCCGGGCCGCCCCTGGCACGCGGAGCGCACCAGGGAGGCACTGGTGCAGAACTCCAACAGAGCATGCTGCATTCTGGAGGATCGGCACTGCGGACCGGGGAAGCCCCGGGGCCTCCGGGAGTCCAGACTATAAGCGGAGGAAGTATCGAACGGGAGCGTCGTTGTTTGCAGGGGGCCGCTTCCGGCGCCGGCGCGGGAGCGCCCGTCCTGAGTCCAAGGAACAAATACATATCGAGCGGGAGCGCCTGTTTTGTTGGAGAGCTGGCCTTCGCCAGGAATCTACTGAGCCGGGTCAATCCAGACCAGACCAGGGTCAGTCAGCCCGCGCAGGATCCTGCAGGATCCTGCACCCAAGCCCGGGTCAATGCGACCCTGGCTTGGGTGCCCGAGATCCGGCTCCCGATTTCGGCGGCGAGAAAGAGCCCCGGTCCCGAGTAGAAAAGGAGGAAGTATCGAGCGGGAGTGTTGTTGTTGTTGCTGCTGCTGCTGTTGTTGTTGTTGCTGTTGTTGTTGTTGTTGTTGTTGCTGGGGGGGGGGGGTCGGTTTCGGCGCAAACCAGAAACGCTTGAGCGTGAGCCTACTTGTTCAAGGAGCTGCAGCCGACGGCGAGGCGAGAGCGCCAGCGCGGCTGTAGGGTATCCCTTCATAATGTTTGTCGAACAGTTGGGGATCAACGTGGACAAGGAACGCCTCAGGACCTCTGGGAGTCTTGAGCAAAACAGAGAAAGTGTCGAACGGGAGCGTCGTCGTTTGCAGGTGAAGCCGCTTCAGGCGCCGAGGCTGGGTACAAAACAAATAATCAAGCGAAAACGC